AGTTTTCTGAACAAAATAAGAGAGAGGAAGAGAGGGTTCTTGAGAGAGAAAGTCATCTTCATCAAATTTGATTCTTCAAAACTATCCGGGCCGTGAAAATTTCAAAGTGAGAGTCTTCATCCCAATTATTGCAGGTAAAATCCCTAACCCATTTTCATTTAGTTTCGGGTCTAAATTAAGGGGGGGAGTCTCATGCATTGATTCTTGAAAATAATGGTTGAAAACTACATGCATGCCTTTTAAAACCTAAAATCTAGTAAGAGGGATTGGGTAGGAGTAAAGGATTGTACAAGAGGGGTTGATTACCTAAATAAGTTTGAGCGGCAATTGTGAACTTCAATTCTAAGTCATATGTGTTAACTTGTGCACTAGATTGTCGTTGCTAGACTATTGGGTGAATTGAAAATAGAAGTTAAAAAGGGAATTCGGCTCCAGGTATGTATGGCTAACTTTGACCTTCGTAAATCACCTCGTTGTGTACGAATATTGGTATGTGATATCTACGTGGATTATGTGTGAAATTCTTGTTATTGGTATGATTGTAGTGTTCGTGGTTAAGTCTCCGCTAAAATGGTGTAAGTAATTGGCAATAAACCAAATAGTGTGATTGTGAAAGNAGAGCTGAGAAACAAATGATGGAAGGAAATCGTAAATGATGCAATTGGAACAACTGTGGTAATAACATATATGGCTTGTCGTGCGCAATTATCGTTGTGACATAAAATGCATATGAGTTATTGAATATGATGGAAATGGTATTGATGGTTATGGAAATTCTTTGCGAATTGTGGTTGTTATTCCTTGAGAATTGTTGTTGTAGTTCTTGAGAATTGTTGTTGTTGTTGTGTTGTTTGTGAATTGTGATTGTTCGCTGGGATCGGGTTGCGCGCCGCAACACGAAGTAATAAGGTGTGGGTTGTGGTGATAAGGGTGGCCGAGGTTATAAGGGTGGCCGAGGTAATATGGGTGGAAAGTGATCGAAATCACTATTGAAATGAAATTATGAGAAAGTTGTGAAATCATTGATGTGAAAAATGTGGAAGGGGAAAGGGAGAGATTGTAAATTTGTTTGGCTTGATTGTTTCCTTTCATGTGTATTTGATTATTGATTACATTATTACTTCTTACTTGTGTATGGTTTGAGTTTTCTTAGGGCAAAGTTTGTTCATACATACCAGTACAATTCAAATGTACTGACGTCCCTTTTGTCAGGGGCGCTACATTCGTGTTATGATTGTAGGTGGATCCATAGCCGGTACTCCAGTCCACCGACCGTAGCTCCCCTTCATCTTCGGTCAGTTGTATTGGTCAGCCCCTTTCCTCTCGGGGCCCTACATGGCTCATGCCGCTTTTATTCTGGAGTCTTATTTTGGTTTTTGTGTAAGGTATAGCCGGAGCCTTGTTCCCGGCAAGTACTATATTATCCTGTGTATCTTTAGAGGCTCCATAGACAGTATATGTGGGTTACGAACTCATGTAATTATGTATTTTGTATGTTGGGCGATGTAAGTTGTAAACCTCATTAAGTATCCATGTATGTTATGTATGTTTTGTAAAAAGGTGTTTTAATTATAAATGGCTAATTCCTTGATTAATGAGCAATGAAAGTACGGTGTAGCACGTGGGATAGGAAAGGCACCCTGGTCCGCTTGACTAGGGCTACCCGGTCGGACGCCGGTCATGTCCCTCGGTTTGGGGCGTGACAGGGCACGGTTCGTTCGACTGTTTGGCCGGGTACATTGTTTTCCTATCGAGACCCTGTTCAACATATCTTAGCTTCTCCAAGGAGGTGATCTTCCGGGGGATGCCCCCCCAGTATTCGCAGTTGATTGCAAGAGAAGCTTGAATATGTTGATTTTCCTTATGTAGCTATATAGTATGTTGCCTCATTAAAAGCCTTACCGGTAAACCTGTTTACGGGATAAAACTCGGTACGTAAGGAAACGAGTAGCAACGGT